ATTTGAATATAAATGGAGGTACTGCTGAACTCTGTATCGTACAAACAAAACTGAATAAATCTAGTGTTGCAGTGAAAATTGTGAAATACACAATACATATTTAATCGAGTATTTTTCTTACACGTTGTTTCTTATTTAGGAACACCGTTTAATACGATTATTTCTAGCAAAGTTTGCAATGTAAAATTTCGTGTAATAAGGCACTAAAAATCTGGTGTGTATTATTACCTCGAATATAACTTTTTTTTGTTTTTCTTACAGTTTCTGATTTGGAGGTTATATTCTACAGCCGGATGACATTTAATAAACACATCAAACATGTAAGTAACATCAAAGTCGAATAAAGTGTTGCGATTACGAAATACAACCACTTACATAGCGGATTAGTACGTAGTAAATTGGAATATTGTTCTGTGGTTTAGTTTCTGGATTATAATTATACAATCAAAATAGAATCCTAGAAAAATGTTAACCCGTTTCCTAAAATACAAGGCATAGAACAATATTTTTGCTGGATAGGTAAAATATTGATGCTTTAAAGTTTGGAAGGACAGTATGTAGTGTACGTTTGGTTGTAAAACTTGTTTGTGGTACTTGTAATTATAAGCATCAGAGTGTACAGAACAAATTTAGGTTTCCTATTTACTTTACTTTTTTTTATTATGTGTCAATACTACAAAAAGAAATGTGATGAGATTATATATTTCATGAAAGTTGGAAATATTTTAAGTGAAAATCTAATTGTGTGTTACTCTTCCACGTCACAACAAGATAGTTTACATGAAAATGCAGCTGAACAATAAAATAGATTTATTTTGATTGCAGTTGATAAAATAGTAAGTAATTTAAGGCGTTTCTAGGTCTACACGGACGAAACCTTGGACAGAAGCTAGTTTTTTTTAATACTGACCGAAAACTTTCGTTTCGAGCGAACTTGTTAAGTTTACAGAACTTGGCAATATTCAGTACCAAGTACTTAGGTCATTTTCACAAATGTCAGCCAAAGTCATGTTTTTCTGTAGTTTCAGAATTCGCAAGATGTGAAAAAATAGGTTTACACTTTTCATTTATGTGTCATCTGGAAATATGATCTCTGGACCAACTGCATCAGTTACTCCCAAAAAATTGATAAGGTCATCTCAAAATTATTTTAAACAAAACTCATTTGAAAAATCCAGTGAAATAAGCTACTTTAAGTTTGGTTCACAGAAGAAAAAACCTTGGGCTAAAGTTATTTAGAGGGAACGCCCCCGTAGTACAATCAAATAAATAAATCCAGGTTCATAGAGAATTATAATATTTGAGTTAAGTTGTAAAACAAGGATGACACGCAAAATCGTGACGCGTTCCACATTTTTGATCTATTGATGTTCTGAGTGGAGTGCCTCAGGAATCCGTACCTGGTTCTCTACTTTTTCTTACGCACACAGCCGACATTAAGAATACTATAACATCGTCTTTGCCATGTTTGCAGACGACATCAAGCTCTACAACAGCTGCGACAATTTTTCATCCTTATTATCTGATCTTCGTTCGATTTACAAATGGTCTTAAGTTTGGTCATTGCCCAAATGCGTTACCTTGCATCTTGGTAAGGGAAATCCCCGATCGGAAACTATGGGCTTGCCACCACTGAATGCCATATGGATTTGGGTGTTCACGTTTGCTCCAGCCTCCTTTGATCTGACCATGTCTTGCAGGTCACGAAGAAGGCTAATAAAATGCTTTTTCTTTTAGGCAAAACATTTGTCAAAGTCAGTTCCTTAATTTTTTCGAAGCTTTACAAAACGTACGTTAGACCCATCCTAGAATTTGCCAACGGAATCTGGAGTCCCGTCCTCCAAAGAGATATTTTCCTCTTGGAGGCTGTACAAACAAAGGCCACTAGAATTCCATTTAGTAAAAATCGACCGATAGACTGAAACAATTGAATCTATGCTCTATCGTTAAAAGACGGAAAAGAGGAGACCTTATAACTGTATAACAGGCGTTGAGCAACGATCACCAATTAAATGCCTATTTCCACTGAACACATCTGATCGCACCACCTAAACTGCTCAAAGACAAATTTCGCACCACTGTAAGTTAGAGCTTCATAACGAATACAGTGTTTGATGATTGGAACGTTTTGCCAAAAGAAATTGTTTTAGCCTCATCTGTAATCTTTATCTGTCATTGTCTTATGTTGAAAATAAGTTGTGGTAGACGATTTACGAATTCCTCTAATCTTTTGTACAATTCAGCTGCTGGAACAAGTGCCAAAAGCACGAGAGCCTAGATAACTTCACCATTTAAGTTATTTTGATAATGGTAGAATTATTGGGTGGCCTGAAGATGGTTCTTCGTTTTGGCAAATTGCCGTTGTTTGCACCGACACCGACATACAAGCACTGTTCTACGAACTTGGTGGGTATGGAGTGAAAAGGACAGAGAAGCGAGAATGAATACAATCAAGACGCACCACAGAGCATCCAGATGGTTGGCTAAGACTCGTGGCTATTAGGGACCGATTTTTCGCAAGTTGGTAGATTGGAATTGGTCCACGAAACAGGTCTTTTGGGTTCTATTCGTACCGTCCGCAGTTAGTTTTTTCTTTAACTCCTGCACACCGACGCCAAAGGTTGGAGTGGTGCAGGGAACGCCAAAGGTGTAGGGAAGAATAGAACAGGGTTGTCTTCAGCGATGAATCGCGATTCTCTTTGGGGATGCATGATGGCCAAAGACGAGTAAGATGGCGTCATGGGCTCGGAAACATGTTGTTTCGGCAAGATAACGTACTTCCTCACACTGCACACAGAACCAGAGACTTCTTTGAAGTTGCAGAAATAAATGTTTTGTCGTGACCCCCCAGATCTCCCAATTTAAATCCCGTCGAAAACATATGGGATAAGATGGGAAGGAGACTAACGATATTATAAAACCCTCCACAGACCTTAGATTAGCTACAGCATTGAAGTTACTTGGGGAACTACCCCAGGAGGAAGACGATTACCTAACTGAATCGATGCCCAGACGTGTCAACAAATGCATTCAAAATGGGGATCGCGAAACACTATTATTTTTTCCTTTGTTAGTTGTTTCTTAAGGCAAAAATTGTAATTGTACTAACTAATAAATAAGACTAAAAAGTGGCAGTGAAGCCAACTTCAAAAAATTGTTATATCTTGGTGTTGCATGTGTAATGTTATTCAGTATATTTTATAAAATTTACAAGGCATTCACTACGCAAAATTTTGTCTTCAAATTGTTCATATTCCTAAAATACATATATATGTAATTGCACAACAATCAATTCAGCAGTGCTGATTATATATCTAATAAAATTACCAACATCACCAACAGACCACATCGGACGGATAGACGGAAACGGGGAACATATTTTTTCATAGTCTAGGCATCATGAAACGTCAAGAAAATTAAAATATGAAGATTGTTAAATCACAAGCAATTCAAATTCATAAAACTTTGTACAATTTATGTAGAATTTATCAAACAAAATTTTGAGATGACGTCATCAAGTTTCTGGAGGGGATAAATAGATAAATTTTATTTATCGAATTGCCAAACTTACGATAACCATAAAAGGTTTAGAAAATTTGAGATCAGCTAAATCGTAAAACGATGTTATACAATTTTGATTTACTTACTAGAAATTTTTATGCCAAAAGTAAAAAATAAAGACGGACGCGTAAACCACAGGTGTAGAAGTAGGGTATTTTATAAAACTTTAAACTAATTTAAATCGGATTTACTTTGTAAAAGTTTGAGATTATCTATCAATCTGTAAAACCTCTAACAGGCGTCAGAATAAAAACGGGCGAGCTAGTTTTTCATTCTCTAGGAGTTATGAAACGTCGAGAAAACATGAAAATAGCCGTTCGCTTCGCCGGATTAGTCTTGCTACAATACTTAATTACACGGGGAAAGTAAGAATTGTTAATACGTATTAAGTAATTTTTTCATCGGGTTTTGGATGTAGAAAGATTATGTATTCCCCATTGTGATGGTAATATAATATCAGGCATTATAATTTAATTTTGATATACATATATGTACTTAAGTATTTTTCTATTTTTTTTAAACACCGATTAGATGAGGTCATTTTAAAAAAATATGTTGTTTTTGATTACTGGCCATCCATCGTACTGTTTTATGAAAATACGAAACGAAAGGTTTGATGAATATTTCAGACCAAAACAACTGAAGACAAAGCGAGGTAGAAGAAAGGGTAGAGGCCATCGTTCAGGTAAACCTTTCAGACGGCACTCGGCAGTGCAAAAAATATCTGTGCTAATTTTTAATAACCATAAATCATTGAAAAAGGCTATAAAATATCAAAGTGCATTATGCCAAATTATAATAGTACGGAGAATACAGAAATACTTCAACATTTAGGTACAAATTAAATACAAGCGATAACGGCCCGTCCTTATCCGCAATAATGTTCTTTAATAATAGAGACAAGGACACAAAACGCCGACTTTTACGATTGAATAACTCTAAAAATGTACTGTAATTCCTACGCTGATGAAATTATGCGCCATAAAACTGGCGAATAGTATAACTTATATGAGTTGGCCCAGACAACGGCATTCGGTTTAAACTTGCACATGCGCTTTCTTTTATTCGAGATGGGATTAAAGCAGGGTATATAGGATATTTAAATATGTGATTTACTTGTAAAAAAATATGCAGTGAATTAGATAGACACAGTTTATAACCGATTAATCGCATGATTAATTAATACTCGTTTTTTGTAATGCTAAAAAAAGTATATCTAATAAAATTATAGGTCATATTTTTGACTAATACGACGTAACAAACCGAATACATGAATTTTAAATATCATGTTTTTACAATTCACCTTTGGTGAAATGCAGTTTTTTCCTATTCCAAAACATTGAAAGTGTTTTTTGATCACTATATCACCATCGCGACGACTTGTGAAAATATGATTATGTCGTCGACGACGGCACGTTCTAATACACTAAACGACCTACCTGACGCACCTGTTTGAATTGTTCTTCGAAAGACCAGGTGTGTTGTGAAGAAGCGCTGCCTTCTGATGAATGTGAACTTCCTGAAGATGGAGCTGTCGGTGGTGGTAACAGTGGTGTCATGAACGGGGTACTTGGATGCGGAAATGGAAACGGAGCTGGCAAATGGAAATTATCTTGCAAGCTCCTGTTTGAGAGGGGAAAGTTCAGGTGTCTCGCACTTTCGAACTCGTCCTGAAAATGATATACTAGTTTTAGTACACTTACATAATTGCATTTTACAAATTTCAAAATTATTTATATTTTAAACGTGGTAAATAAATATACTTTGAGAAATTGACAAGTGTTATTGCTACCCCTTTATTCCTCGGTTGAAGCCACCACTCATATACTCATTCCAAATCAGATTGAAGCTTTCCAGCAGCTTAAAGCTGCTAAGATTGTGAGGGTGTATATACGAAATATACAATTAATCTAGGTGCGAAGTTTGTTAATTAAGTACATACTACCATAAACGGAGTGTTGATTATTATTGAATTTAAACCTAAACTTAACTGGAACTCCTCTGATGGTAAATTTGGACTATATATTGGTCGGATTAAATTCCACGCAAAAAAGCTTGTTGCGTCGCTTGCATTATTGCTGGCCTAACCGCGAACGAAAAGAGGACTATGTAGGTCGACTTTGGGTCAGGGTACAGGTCAATCCATGACAACCTTATTGCTAAAACGTAGTTTTTCTATCAAACAAGTCTTTGTGAGAAAATAAATCAGAATATCTCTTGCACAACAACTTTCACTATGCAATTAATCAACTTTTTGGTAAAGTTTAAATCAATTTTTATGTCTACAATACACCACTACTCAAAATATTGTGATACTACAGGTAACATAACCGTTCTCTAAATACTGATACATATATGTATAATGTCCAAAATTTTACGGCGTGTTTTCTCGGTTTATTTAGTGATCATGACCAACGTTAGATGTCCAAACCAGACGCAAAGCTCCTCAAGCTTTTTTTTTAAATTTACTTCTGTAAATATGTGTTTGTTTAAGGAATTAAAAAGGCTAAATACGCATCATGAAACGAATCCATAATTTAGTCAATAGTTGTGCACAAATCTTGCAGCAATTTATAATCCAAAAACCTCGATTGTCCAAGTTTTCGATTTCTCAATTTTTCAACATTTTAATTTTGGGAATTTCTCAGTTTCTAGATTCTTCTAGCTATGAAACCTTATATCAAGATAAACTCTCCCATGAATTCATACCAATTTCCAATCACAGACTTTCTCCTGCTTTGCTCTCTATCTCCTTTGGTTTTTCTTCTCCATTTTCAAAATTTTCAAAAAAAATCGAAAAATTGTAAAAACAACGGAAATAAAAAATTGAAACAAAAAACTGTCCCTCCCACCTACCTCCTCTCTTGTCCAGTCTTATCTTACCAAATGCTAACCCCGCCCACCCACCCTCTATTTTCTTACAGAGTATGTCATTTGCCAAAATTAGTCTTATCTCAGCAAGTACTGGGCCCGCCCACCCGCCCTCTATTTTCTTAGAGAGTATATCATTTGAAAAAATTTGTCTTCACTTAACAAGTATTAGCCCCGCCCACCCGCCTTCTATTTTTTGAAAGGGCAAGTACTAATTATTTTTTTTTATTTTTCAAAATAGTTGTATGATTTACAACCCCTACATTTTTGCCAAAGGTTAACCAATATTTTATAATTACGGTCTCCAGGATTTTTTTTAATTTAAAAAAAAAGATACAACATTCCTTTAAACTGTAAAAAAACCCAAAGGACCCTGAGATTGTTTCAATTAAAAAAAACACCAGTCATAAAAAACCTTCAAGAGGAAAACATCAGGAGCTATCCAGGATTCTATTCAATTCTTAAAAAAAAGTAGACAACTCAAAATTGAGATCAACTATTAAAAAAAGACACAAGGGAGCCCGAGATGCTTTTAATTTAATTCAAAAACGAAACACCAAGTGTTCTCCAAGACTCTTTTAAGTTAAAAAATGCACAAGCTATCTCAAGATTCTTTAACATTAAAAAAAAGACTCCAACTCCAACGATACTATTAAAAAAACATTAAAGTGGTCATTCGTCGGATGGACTCCGTTATGTAAGCTATTGTAATAGGGTCATTTTGACTAGTTCAAACACTAATGACAACTTTCATGTATTCTTGGGGCAAGTGCAAATTGCGGCGGTTGGCGAAAATATTTTATTCTTTGTATGTAAACTACGGCGGATCTGTCAGGGTTCGAGAAAATCTATGTAAACTGCAGCAGTATGTAGGTATCCAGTTATATATGCTGGATTCAAAATGTTAAGTAATAATTTTCAGTATGGACTGATGAAAATTAGGGCATTAGTTGCGCCGCAGTTTACATATGCCCAATTCTCAAACAATAAAAAAAAAGTGTCGCAGTTTCGTCTCTCTGTCGTCAATCCTTTGGGTCCTGACGATTTTAGTAGACATGTAAGCGCCGACAATATTGGACTAACGATTGTGAAATTTTAACAAAAAGACGTCCGGGTTTCAAGTGTGTTAATTTTGAAACGGACTGCAGCGTTTCGAGCACTTGCGTTCTAGATATCTTCAGAAATATAGGAACGAAGAACGAGTGGTTCACGAAGAAAGAAAATGATACTAGAGGTAGATAAAGATCCCCTTCTGTACCTCCAGTAAAGTTCTCCTCTTTCCTGAAATTGGTCCAAAGTTACTTCGACAGAACTTCCGTCGCCCTTGAAGTACATTTAAAAAAAAATCCGCTTCTTTGAAAAATTATAAAAAAATTGTTTTCTGATAACCTTTCTGTATAGTAAAAACTAGTGGTGTAAATGACACGTAGAAATTTGTTTCATTTAAACGAATTGTCTCCTTAAAACAGGGGTCTAAAATTATTAATTAAACCACAATGGAACAAAATATTTTGAAAAGGATTATTATTATTCTTATTTGATCATAATTAAATAAAGACGCTGTAGAAAATTAAGTTTTTAATTTGATCAATAAAAAATTGGTCGAAGGCTATCAGTACCATCCGACAAATCCAGCTCTTTAAAAAAATTATAAAATTTAATTTTACGATTTCGTTTTATGATAACCATTGTAAAGTAAAAACCAGCGGCATAAAATATTCTTCAGCACTAGGTGACAGCAATCTGAGACTCAAGTATTTATTTATGTTTGTACATCGAAAGAATGTCACGTAGAAATTAGTTTGATTTGAATGAGTTTGTTTTCTGAAAACACAGGACTAAAATTATGAATTGAACCACAATCAAACAAATTGTTCTGAAAATTAAAATTCTTAATTTATCAGTAATATAAAAACGTGCGTATTCTTCACATTTTCTAGAAAATGGGGTGATTCGTTGTTAATTTGATCAATAAAAAATTGTGATGAAAAATACTAGTCACAGAACAAAACAAAAGTAATCACAGCTTATTACCAATTCAAGAAAAAAAATAAAGGGCCAGGCTCAGCATCGAAACCACGACCGCAGGTCGCCATCCACCCTCATAAAGCGACTGCGCTACGTGAGCTTATAAGACTGAAAGCGGATTCATACGCTACAAGTACCTATAGAAGTATATTTTTGTATAACATTCAAATCATTTTAAAATACAATTCATTGAATTATCATAAAATTGTTGGTGGGGATGATTAACCAAATTTTGATTACCATTTAACCATCTCCATGATATTTCTGATATACCTAGATACAAAATATAACAACAATCGGTCCAGCATTTTTGGAGATTACGTGTCTAATAAAAATGGATACAGACACCAGATAGACAGACGGAAACGGGAGACTACTTTTTCATAGTGTAATAAGGGCCATGAAATGTCAAGTCTCGATTACTATACTTCGTTAGCTTACGCTCGGAAAGTAAAAATATTATATTATATACAATATATCCACTCTTCTCCATATTCTTCTATTCATCATCAGAAATAAGGAATCAACTACAGCAATGTAAATTGGTTGGTTTAAGCATTTTTTATAGTTAAATACGTTTTGTTATGCAGTCGGATCGCTAAGATAAAATGTCCGTTTATACTCGTCTTTAACAGAGGTGTTTTTTAACGTTTGAACTCAACTTAACCATTAGTAGGATGGTTGCTTACCCCTACCTTGATGTCTCTCACTTGCATTTTTAGCTTGGCAAGAACATCTCCATGATCTGCAATAATTCCTGCACCATGCCCTCGCATGTCGTCACAACTATCTACATCGTCGTGTTCACGACCAGATTCTCCATCCCCATCGCTTATTTCTTCATCATTATGGGACTAGAAATAATCACATTGTTAGAACAAACTTTTTATATCAAAGTAAAGTTGTTATTTATATTCTTGACATGAATACTTCAGTATTTGTTACGGAATCATTTTATGATTAACGGATATGAGCCATGTCGAGAAACAAGTCATTTTTACAACGTATACTAAAGATAATAAATTAACTAAAGTGTTTCTTGCCTAAAACCATTGAAATCAGAGGAAGAGGTCTGAAATATCGACAGTTGGCGCCTGCAACTGTACGCTGCACCCTAGGAAGCGATATGCTGAATCGCTCATCCTTGTTGCACACACAGGCTCGACAAAGATGCGACAATAATTTCTTTACGGGATACCGATTTCTATTCCAAGAAATAGGGTTTTTGCCGATTATGAGCACAGTTCCTTTCAACATTCAAATCACCCACCATGCAAGCAAAGATGTTTGACGCCATCCAAATGAATTTAAATATTTTCGAAATTTGTTTGGTAAATGAACTAAATCACAGAAAAATGTACATATATTTGATTGGAAGTACTTAGATTTTATTAATTAATCTTATACCTGCATAATAAACATATTTTTTTAAAATAAATTTCCAAACCAAAAACAGGATGAATATATCGGGTAGTTTTATTGTTAGCATTGTTGGCCATTGATTTTAAGAAATGCACTTACCAGGGTTCAAGTGAATCAATAGTAAGAAATCTTATACGTTTGTGATTTAATACAAAATAATCCAATTTTATAAAATTGCATTATTTTTTTATTGAACACGTAAATATGCATGCTTACATTAAAGAAGCCAGGCGTTTTTTTTAATACCAAACCTTGCAAATAAGTATATTGATTTGTGGAGTTTATTGTCTACTTCGGTGTAACTTAATTTGGATTAATTGTCTGAAGATTCTATTACGCAGTAATACGATCATGAAGAAGTCTTACTAATGTGGTTTTAATATTAGAAAAGTTACCCTTCAACTTCTTACAACGCTTAATTGATTTTCGGAAAAAGATAGGTATGTGTTAAACTTTCTTAGGATATTGACATAGTTGAATCGTTGATAGATAACTGCAATTAATCTGTTTGTTCCCGACAAACATGCAAAAATAATAGGTATCAAACAAACGAACGGATGTTATTTTTTCTAATGCTTGTTGACAATGATTATTAGAAACGCAGATTATTATTTGTACAAGTTAAGATACTGTGAGAATTCTTTACCGACGACAACGTTCAACACAGTTCGAAAAAACTAAATTAATTTTAGTACGACTCCCCAATGAAGCAGCCTTCATTTGACACATTATTCCAGAGCGCGTTTTAAATTCGGGTAAGGAAAGTTGTCTTTTCTGAAAAATACGTTTCGCACATTCAATAAATTCAAAAAATGCTTGCTCATCACATAGAATTGTTATTTCAAGATATGTAATGTGTCGACAAAAAAACAAAATTAAAATCAAACATTCACCATTATTAGGTTTTCACATGAAAGGGGAAGTCAATGCAATCATGATAAAAATCTGCATAAAAGTTTTATGCAGAGAACCGTGCGAAATTATCTTATCTCGTTATAACTCTTATTATGCCATTTGCCGGCTCGTAAAATTCTGTAAATGCCTGAAATGTGTGTCCTCACCGCTAGGTGTCGCGTTATTTGTGTAGAAACGATTTCAAATAACAATTGTGAAATGCTAATTTCTCTCGTAGCGCTGTTATAATATACAGGATAGAAAATGCCTTGTGTTTGTGTGTCCCTTCGATCCCGTGTGTGTGGGTTCACACTGACGTCACTTCCGACCTACCCTAACTTTCTAAGCACGTGACTGCACTAAAAATAAAAACATATTTCTTTGTGCAATGTATTTCTTTGTTTAGCGGTACGAAGGAATTATGATTGTTCCAACTTTTGTTGTAAAAATAAACGCAATAAAGCATTTACCACAACTTCAAGTACGTGAAAATTATTTTTATTTCAGTTAAAATTACTTAGATATAATATGTAAAATAACATGACAGAAAACATTGTTTTATACGTGAAAAATAGTAGCTATAGTCAAAAACCAAAAAGTCCGGAACTGTAAACATTCCTTTATGCTAATATAAAGAGAATCTTATTTATTTTTCTTCACCAGATGAAGTCTGTCCCTTACAAAATGGACCACATGTTGGTTTAACCTAACCCAAGCCCTGATTTACATCTTGCACTTTCTATGACAAAACAGCAAACCAGAAAATATCAAAATGTTTTAAGCGTAAAGGTGATTTTTTTTCAAATCAGTTTAGTTAGATAATTCAAACAACAACAAAAATTTACAAAGAAGAATCGTCATCACAAAAGAATTGGTGCAACATTTCTTTTCAGCGAGAAAGATGAAAATTTAAATTTAATGGTCGTTAACGGATCAAAATTTAAAGAAAATTGAATTAAGAAATTAAAGAAATCAAAATAAAATATTACTAAACAACTGCGGATAAAGATTCTCAAAAGTAAAATAATCAGACGACTAAATATCTACGTTAAACTACTTATTTTATAGTGTTGGCGAAAAAAAAGTTCTATATAGTGAAAAAATACTAACTAGTTAATTTTAAGGTACGAATATCTTATCATAAAATATTGAAATAATTTTTAACATTTTAAATGAATTATTGTTAGCTTGAAAAAAAACCTTTATTTTTCGCACTGATTATTCTGTTTTTAATAATTTGCATAAGATAAACGAGAAAGTACAGCGATAAAAACTACTTCTACTGTATATCATTTCCGACAAAAAAATGTGATAATGCATGTGTCATTAGTAGTGTATAGAATTTTGCGAGCTGAAACGGTGGCGAAAACCGCGTTCCAAAATTTCCATAAATAACTGAGTTATTGAGTGTTAAAAATACGTGCTGAAAAATTTCACCAAAATGAATTAGATGATAAACCGTTTTAAAAAGCTGCCTGTGTGTTATCTAGAGAAAATTTTCGGCAAGTTATATTCAAAATTTCACAACAATTAAGTCTGTTAATAATAGATATATGTATGTATTATATTCTCTAAATGTATTGAACACTGGAATGGGTAATCGTGAACAAACTTGATGACATCATTTAAACGTTTTGCCAAATAAATGACACTTAAAAACTTGCAAAATACTACGTTTATATTTATTAATTTATCGCCAATTTAACTTTATGCATGGACTTTCTCTGGGAAAAAATCAAAACTGTAAATAGAATAAAATTTTTGTATATAACTTAGAAACTACATGACCGATTTTTCTAAGAGTTTGCAAACGGATTAAAGTTCTCGTGAACATTAATATAAACATTACATGGCTAATCACAATTCATCTTTCCAAATGTTGATAACGTGATCTAAAAATTGTGTTAAGTAAAAGGTAAACACTATATGGTGTGAGATGGTTCTGTCTTGGTGATTTAATAATCATCCATATTTAATTAATTCTATACGAGTTGTAAAAGAAAGTTCTAAAAGTAGATTCTACAATTTTTCGTAGAGATAACAAAACATTTTTTTTTTAATTTGAACAAGCTATTTTCACTGATTTGATGGTTACAGAACAATTATCAAAATTATTTACCCATCCTCTTCAGAAAGTCAATGACGTCATCGCAAATATCTGTCAATTCAATGTTTGAATGAATCAACCAATTTAACATTTGCACCGTTATTTACGTTAACAGACAGAGGTTATCATGGAAAAAAATGCGATTTATCTAGGAAACTGGATTTGTTTGATTCCGCTTCAGTGACGGAATGAAACTCTATTTAAACAACTTTAGACCAGTTTTATTAAATGTTGTTCCACTGGGTTCTAAAATAATGCGCGAAAAGAAGCAAGATCTTACTGGAGCACGTCGACGAGCAGTTAAAGTATTCAATAAAAAATATGCAAATTTTATTATCTATCATCTCGTTTGTGTGGCAGTGACGTTGACGCAAAAAGTCTCTCTGCTCACAAAACTGAACAGAAAATATTGCTTGAGTTATAACAAATTATGCTCGTGATTTATATTTAAAAACTAGAAACTGTTCAAATATTCGTAGTTTAAACAATTCGACAATTTCGAATCGGTTAAGGAATGTCGATACGCATCTATCTCTTACAAATCTCGGTGATTTTCACTTCAGCTATATCTTCGACGCACCACCGTTTGATAACCACTGCCCTTGCAAATGCCACATGTTCTATCCGATCTCTAAATTATCGACAAAAAACCTTCACCCTCCTTGATAGGGAGAAACACAAAAACACTTCAAATCGTAAAAAAGATTATACATATACAGTGATAAAATTACAAGAAAGGAAATACACTTTTAGGATTTCATTTTGTATCGATAACAATAAATCACTTCCAGTTTTTTCATTCAACTTGAAGTAGTCTCAGATCTTAACATCAGGTATCAGTTTTGCCGAAGCTTTGATAGCGAAATGGGAAGACGATTATTAGGTGCTCATTATTTTATTTTGAAAAGGATTATTCGAATTCGTGCTGCACATTGCTACTGTGTATCGAATCGCGTGCAAGTCATGCTTTTATTTGAACGTCTGCCAGGTTGGCACCCCGTAATTACAGTTATTAAATTTTGTCTGATCGTATTAAAAAATGTTTATTATAACGATACCTATACAGACATTCATCAGAATTGCCAAAAATGCTTGTCGTATAAAAAAGGTGTATACATTTTTCCCGTTTCGAAACGATATTATTAAAAAGAGGACCTGAGAAACGAGCGAAGTCAGATGGTACAACCCATTTATTCAATTAGTTACCTACTAAAAGGTGTAGCTAAGACGTGCCTTCGATTTGTTTAATTATAGAACCTGTCGCCAGTCTATATTAACTTAGGACATAAAGAAAATTACGGCACGTTATTCAATTCTCAGCTATATTACCTCCAGTTCTAGAGGCGAGTGTATTTCAAAGCCAACACACGTGAATAAATATTTGCGAAGACCCCTTTTGAATATTTCGATGTTTGATTACTGAAGAAAAAT